GCCCCAGCCAGGAGTCGAGAGCAGGAGAGCCTGAGTGCTCTCACTCTGGCCAGGAGAACAGGACCAAGGCCTGCTTTCCAATGCCATGAAGCCATGAGACAGAAGCCCCTCACATCCAGATCCCAGTCAGTCTTCTGCTGTGCTCCTTAGAGACCCTTCACACCAAACTGTGCTGAAAACAAACACAGCCTCTTCACTAGGGAGGGAAACTAGTTAGGAGATCTGTTTCTAAGCCATTACCACTCAAAACTATCCAGACTTGCCTCTAGGAAACAATGTGCAAATTAAATGTTTGCAGAGAGATCAGAAGACACAGGCAAACATAACACATCCTACAAATGAATGAAGAACAGAAAGACAACGAAGATGGATCATAGCACACTCTCTTTGCAACAAAACGAATACTTCTCTAAAGCTTAAATTTAAAATAAATACTACAGCATCATGTTCCACACTGCATAAACCAAACAAATGAGTTCCCAACACAGTTTATGATCTATTTAGGGTTTTAAATTTTTAAACACACCATGTCAGACATCTCCCTCAATCAGGCACCAAGTGGAATTCAGGAGAAATATGGAGCTAAGATGTAAGAGCGGAGCACTGCAGGCTCTTCCCACACCAGCCAGCGAGCACACAGGAACGAACCTTCCATTGTCCCCCTTCCCAAAGGACCAGCTTCTGGGGCACTCAACTGTCACCTTTTATCTCCAAACCAGGCAGGCAGATCTTGTTTTATCAGTGTAGATCTGGAGCCCTTATTCTTTTGCCTGTTTCTCCTCTGTGTTCCACATTCTGAAGTCCACGAAAGCACCCAGGCATCAAATAGCCCAAGTTCTGGACTTGCTTAAACAGCATAGTGACTGGCAAGAACAGCCTACATTCTGACATGGGGGAAAAAATGCTCCAAGAAGTCAGAAACCACATGCTGTGACTCAACCATACATGGTCTTAGCATGTCTTTGTAGTTCCTTCTCACCGAGACCCAGAGGCAGCATTCTGAAACCAGAAAGAAGCCTCCTGCTCTCAACCCACACCCCACAGGGCACGTGACCCTGACAGGGCCCTTGCTAAGAGGCAAGAATGCAGGGTGGGGGAGCAATGACACACCCTGTGCAGGCCACAAGCCTGCCGCTCCTTTCCCTCTGCTACTCTCACCTCAAGAATTTCCACAGGCCAACAAAGGGCAGGCAAGGGCCCGCACAGGGCCAGCCTGTGCACTACAAGGAGACCTTTCAGGGCCACCCTCAAGCAGCGCCTGAGCATGAGGTCAGCCTGATTCTACCCCCACAAACACAAGCTGACTTTGTGGCCAGATAGCTGTCGCCCTGTGAATGGAAAAGGGTTTATTTCACCCAGAGTGACCTCACTCCCTATACCGGAAGCATGACCAAAGGAACTATTTTTAAATAGGTACATTAGAGGCAGGCATAAGAACCTAGGGTTGCCCCCCACTCCTCCTCCATCTGATCTCTGATCCCAAGTCACCCCAGTGTGCTCACTTCCCCCAGTCTCTCCCTGTTCCATGATGGTCACCTCGGATAGGGAATCTACAAGGGCTCCTCCTTTATCCATGGATCTCTGGGCTCTGGTCCTGTGACCCACAGTTGTTTTTCCTGCCCCTCTTGTCCTCGTTTCCTTGTTCTTTCTCTGTCATTCTAGCTACACAGCCCAGCAGCTAAGCACGTATTCGCACAGTGCAAACCCCAACTCTACCTTAGGTGGCTGTTAAGATCAGGTGTAAATTGGTTAAATGACTCATTGCTTCTTCCCTGTAGAATGGGATACCAGCAGCACCTACTGTATGGCAAAGGACAGTGGTGATAAAGGATGAAGATACAGTTAAATGCTCACACTAAGTCTGGCATTTGGTATTACCCTATAAGAAGCAGTTCTTAAAATACTTAGTACTTATTCATGCCACTTCCTCCATGAAGCCTTCCTGGGTGACACCAGTCAATATCTTCCTCCGGAAGATTCTGTCAGGAAGCACAGGTACCAGATGAGTTGTTAGGGGGTGTTACATGGAGCAGGATACTTGAATGGGAATCAGGTGTGTAATTATAAAATTTATGCCGGAAGCACATACCTTTGGCTTCAAAACTAACTATACAATTGCAATCACAGTGTTTGTTCCAAGAGATGTAACCTTAGGCTTTCATTCTACTTGCACTGAAATAAGAGCAGAGCTCATACCACAGACTGCTGAGACACAGAATTCTTACCACAGGACCACAGTGGGTCATAAGCATGGAACCTAGAAAGAGAGCATCACACTACTAGAAAAAATAAAAGTAGTAAATGGTATGCTGGGTGCAGCTCACTGGTAGAGGCCTCACTGAGCCTATTTGAATGAATGTAAAGGGAAATCAAACAAACCTTCAGTCAAAGCGCTAAAATCTACCCTTTTAGTCTTTTGTTTTGTTTTTCCAGATAGGGTTTCTCTGGGTAGCTTTGGAGCCTGTCCTGTAACTCTGTAGACCAAGCTGGCCTCGAACTCAGAGATCTGCCTTCCTCTGCCTCCTGAGTGCTGGGATCAAAGGCATGCACCACCAACCACCTGGCTCACATTCTAGCTCTTAAAAAGTTTTGTCTTTTAAATGTATATAATGGAAGCAAACATGTATGTGAATGCAGGTACCTGCAGAGGCCAGAAGAGGGTGACAGATCCCCTGGAGCTAGATCTGCCGGTAGTTGTGAGCTTTGTGAAGTGGGTGCTAAGACCAAATTCAATCCTCTACAAGTGCAGTACATGCTCCTAACTGCTGGGCCTATTTCCAGCCCCATGGGCTCAAACTTCTTGCACCAAACATGCAAAGTTAAACCATGATGCTAGTAGGGACTGTGTGGTAAATAAACCAATCAACACAAAGGAAGTCTGGCATAGACTCCTCAAGGCACCCAAACCCTTCATCTCTCTGCCTCAAAAGCTCTATAGTATCTTTCTGCACAGGACCTAGAGGATTTTACCTTGTCTTTTGAGTGGCATACCATATTTCCCATTGTGGTGCCTTACTCAGTTTATATTCTAATCAAAACCATGCAACCACAATTAGAAATGCACTACCCAACAGGAAGCTCGAATAGGCCTATGCTAACTAAAGGATAAATAGATCAAAAGCTTTTAAGACAATGTTTGCTGGGCTGGGGTATAGATCAGTAGAGGGATTGCCTGGTTCATGCCAGACCCCAGATTGCATTCCCAGCATAAAAAGGAGAAAGAAAAATGGTTGTTTTAGAGCAAAGTCTAATTAAGTGGCCATAGTGTAGCACAGTATTGGGTCACAGTTTGCCCCATTAAAGGCCTGGCTTCTTTACCTCCCCAGTGCCTGCCTGGGAAGATGAAGAGCTGAGTGGTGTACTAAAGGGAAATGGGCCTTAACAGCTAAGCTTTCCCCTACCACTTCCCTGGGCTGAGCAGCTGCCCTCTCCTCCTGGCCAACTGGATCTTAGTAGAACAAATCTGTCCTGAGCCACGCCAATGCAGCACAGATGAGTTGAAACTGATTGGCTTAGGAGCTCAGGAGAAAGCCTACCTCACTGCAAACACAAGCTGCATGATGTCTTGTGGCTTGTTAGGTAATGAACATGACATTTGGCCTCTACTTGCTGACATTTTGGTCTCTCTTTTTTTTTTTTCAGAACCTAGGACAGGAAGAATTGAGTTGTTTATTGGGGTTTCTTGAGATCAACAGTCTAATATAGCTCATCAAGAGGCCTACTATGGGGAGACAGGAAAAGGTCTTACATACGTCTCCAGAAATGTCACACTCCAGGCATCCCTGAGTACAGACTGCCCAAGAAATGTCTAAACTCTTGCCCTAACTCTCAGAGGCAACACCACCCAAGTGGTCTGTATAGAAAGGCTAAAGGCCTCACAAACCACTCCCTGGTATCTGTGGTACTGCCTAAGATGCATCATCTTTCCATAAGTGTTTATAACAAGCTGTGATTTGAGATTCTGACAGCCATCCATTTGACAGAGATGTGCACAGTTCTATAGCAAAGACTGAGGTTATCAGAAGCAGCTAAACAAAACAGAGACCAAACACAATCCTCTGACATCAACGTCCACTACCAACGGCATCCACCTGTGGCTCTCCCAAAGCACAAAGCTATTGAGGCTAGAAAGATGGCCCAGTAGCTAAGTGTTTGCTGCCTGAGCATGAAAATTTGATTTTGGATCTAGCACCTATGTAAAAAGCTGATCATGCCTACACATGTTTATAACCCCAGCACTGCAGTGATGGATAAGAGTATTACTGAGGCTTGCTGGCCTCCAATCACCAACCGAGCTCTAGGTTCAGTGAGAGACTTGATCTCAAAGGAATAAGGCAGAGAATGAGAGTAGATCACCTGCTGTTCTCCTCTGGTCTTCATGATCACCCAGACACACATCATCACATCCATAGACATAACTAGATATTATACCAAACATTAATTAGTTCAATTAATTAATCAATTAAAGCTCAAGCTCTGGAATGGCTTGCCTGCTGGAACTGAAAGCAGTGGACAAGCTTGAGACAGTTCAGAGACCAAGTATAGTGGTTTTGAATGAGAAATGTCTCCTACAGCCTTGGGTATTTGTACACGTGGTCCCAGGTTGGTTGGTGGCACTGTTGGGGAGATTCAGGTGGTACAGTCTCGCTGGAATAAGTATGTCATGGGGTCAGGGTGGAGGCAAGCTAGCTAATTAAAAAGCCATGCCAACTTCGACTCTGTGTTGTGCTATGGTTCAAAATGTAAGTTTTCAACTTCCTGCTGCCAAGTTTTCAACTTCCTGCTGGCATGCCTATCGTGTGCTGTCACGCCAACACACCATAATGGACTCTTATCCCTCTGGATAAGCCCAAATAAACTCTTCCTCTATAAGTTGCTTTGGTCATGGTGTTTCAATACAGTAACAGTCACCGTAACAAACCCCAAATCACAGTGGTGTGGAATCCAGCCCCCTCTAAATCATGTTTCTCATACAACTCCATCAAAACCCACAAACTTACATGCTCCTTCATCTGCTTGGTCACAGAGGATGACATCATCACACAGCAGAGGCCGACAACCAGGACAAAGTAGAGTAAGTACATGAAGCGTGTGGTTCGAGACTGTCGGACCTTAGGGCAGCAGCCACAGCAGAGGGAGCATCCAGCGGATCCGCAACAGCAGGCCAACTAGGAAAGACACAAACACCCTCTCAGCATGAGCAACTGTGACTATTCCTCAGGGTCATGGAACATGAGCCTCTGGAACCCCTGGAATTTCAAAGGTGGGTAAAGTGTCTGGCTATTCATAAGCCCCTCTAAGCCACACCTGAGTCTATGCTTAAAGGTACAACTCTTGGTGAGTTCTCTCCCCAGTCATTTTAGGATGGAGTCTGGCTGTCAGAGGTCACCAGCCGCATGACACTAAAGGTTGGAAATTTCAGCTCCCCACTCTCTCCTCTCAGGGAGAGAATGGGTGACTGAGTTAAATAACTTGTGGCTGGTGATTGAACCAATTGTGATACATATTGGCATGTCTACAAAAACCCTAAAGAGTGGGTTCAAAACTTGTGTCAGTAAATGTATCCACTTACACTGGAGATGTGCCCCATCGCAGTGAGAACAGATACTACTGGGGTTTGAACCCTCTGGGGCTCCTCACCCTGTACATTTGGCTGGGTATTTTTAACATTTACAGTAAGCAGAGAAATGAAGTATAGAGCTTTCCCTAAATTCTGTGAGCAATTCGGCAAATTACTGAACCCTAGAAGTAAAGGGTAGGAGCTCAGGTTTATACCCAATCAGATAGACTGCAGGAGTTTCGGATTGTGAGTAGCCTCAGAAATTGAGACAATTTTGTGAGACTGTACCTAACCTTGGTAGTGTCAAGTTTGAAATGAATTATAGGAGACCTAGCTGGCATTCTATCTATACAGACCACTGCTTTACAAACATATACCCTAGCTTTTGGTTGGTGGACTTACAGGCTTCAGAATGAGTATTCTTTTGGTCATCATGACCATAGGACACTAGGAGTGTGTGGCAAAGCTTTTGCTAGAAGTAGTCAGATACTGTCGTGAATGATGAGCACTAATGGCTTGGGAGATGGCCAGGAATAAGCAGGAAAGGGACTTCCTCAGAAGTGCATAGTCACTGCACTTAAGAGAAATCAAAGGTTTCTGGGATCAGCTAAAAGCAAAAAAAGGGTTCCATGAAAGAGTACATGCAAGGATTACATGAGAAATAAGAAGTGGAGCCAACAATCAAATGTCCAGATCCAGAGTCTAAGTCCAAACTGTGTTGCCTAGGACAAGGCTGAGCTATAGAAGGAAGCCTGCAATCTGAAACTCCAAAGTCAAGCTCATAGGTACCTCTCACACATGCACTATTTCTCAGTCTCATGCCCCTGGGGGGGGGGGGTGTATCTTTCTAGGCTGAGTGGGGCATGGGCTCAGTGAGCACAGAACTCCTGCTATACCACTAAGAGTATTCAAAGTCTTTCACTTGGGAAAACTAGACCAGTGTGCCACATCACCCTGTGTGTTACTCATGTGTGTACATGCATGTGGAGGCTAGAAGCCTATATTGGGCGTCCCTCCTCTTTCCTAGCTTTTATTTAAGCCACACTGTCTCAGATAACCAGATTTTCTGCATTTCAAGTTCAAATGTGACAACACTTAGCCCATTTGGAAAGATCAGTCCTTTAGAAGCAGTTTTCTATAGTTTGGGCCTTAAGCATTGCTCAAATGACCACACTGTAAAAGACTGGCCCAGCACAGAATGATCTAAGAGCCTAAGAAAGGTCTGGTCACAGAAAAGCACAGACAGTCCCGGGCTCCCTTTGTTTGCTATATGCTCCCCTCATGATGTGCTACTTATCACAGGCCCAAAACAGCAGGGACAGCCAATCACATTCTAAAATGCTGAGCCCAGTAAGCCTCTTCCCTTTATAGGTTGGTCATCTCAGGTGTTTTAGACGTAGCTAGAAAGCTTCGAGCTAATGGTAGAACCATACCAGAGCAGAGTCAATAGTTAAGCTTACTATCTCCACAGAAGGGAAAATGAATACATATAGACATTTAAATGTGTCGAAGAGTGACAGAACATGATTATGAAAACACTACAATGAAGCAAGCAGTATAATCCTATTCTATCATTAAAGTCATGTATCAATGTATGCACTGTATTTGTCAAACATTACTCTTAACTTACAGTGCTACGGGCTGGTAGTAGAGAATTTGCCTAGCACATGCATCACAATTGGTCTAAACACAGTATTGCCAAAAACCAGACATATGTACATTTATATGTATGTACATATTGTATAAAAATTCTAAAAAATACTGCAATTCAACAGTTGCCTTCCTCTACTATACTACCATAGCAATAAACAAAGTAATACATGCATGGCCTTAATCTGAATTTTGACAAATGCACCAGGTGGAACTGAAAACAGCGTCTGTGAAAGGACACTACAACTCCAGGAAACTGTTACTCCACCTGTGCTGAGTGGCCACGGTTTAGAGAACATAACTTCCAACAAAACAGGTTCCATCCAGCCCCTGCTGCCAGAGTTTTCTTACCCCGGCATCACCCCGGCACCATGGTGCTCTTCCTGGCTGGCCTAATCCCAAACTGTCACAAGTTTGGAGAGAAAAGCTAGTGTTCTATGTATGGCTCTTCAGGGCATAAGGCTTTTACCAAACAAATCAGGCTTATAAAACAAATGAATGTAGGGTTTCCAGCACCAAGACTGAGCTGTAACATAAACTAGGGACTTTGGGAGGGAGACAAAGGAGAGAGATAGTCATGGGACATAACAAACGTGCCACTGTGCTGGGGATGCTATGAGAGATGGTGATCATGGGAAAACGCTGATGTCACTAGGAATGCTCATACTGAGAGGATGCTGGTCAGTTGGGGGGGGGGGAAGACCCACCTCTGTCGTGACAGGGCATATGTAAAATATGTCTGTTTTCTACTCAGTTTTGCTGTGAGCTTAAAATTACTCTTTTTAAAAACCTTTTGTTTAAAATAAAAAATGAACAAAAGCAATGCTGTCCATCCTTGCCTCAGTAAATTAATGCTGAATGAGTAATGTCTGGTGAAGTCATGTGGGTGGCAAATTCCTCAAACCAAAAGTACAAGCAACTTTGGTCCCTGGGGCCAAAGTCACAAACCACATGTTAAACCCTTGCATTTCTTACTAGCATCATATCACAGAGCACTAAGGACTTCACTTTTTATTTTACTTCTTTTGTTTTTGAGATTATATCATCTCACCCTTCCCTTTCTTCCCTACCCCTAAACCTTCCCATATATCCTCTTTACTCTGGTTCAACTTCATGGCCTCTCTTTTCATTATTGTTGTTACATTATACATATGTATATTTCTAAACACATAAAAACCTGCTCAGTCTGTGTAGTGCTATTTGTACTATGTTTTCAGGCCTGACCACTTGGTATTGGAAAAGCAATTGGGGAAGACCATTTCTCCTGCTCTCAGTATTCCCTAGCTGCTGTAGGGTTGAGGTCTGGTGAGTCTCCTCCCTATAATTTTTAAACTCTTCAGAGGGCAAGGCTTACAGTTATTCAAAGTTCATATTTGTGAATAAACACCTACAAGTATTCAAATACTTAGTTACAAACATTGGGAATAACCTTATAAATCTTCACAAGGCCTAGTGTTAACTGTGGGCTATGTACCCAATGGGATATTGTTTTAAAATGAGTAGATTAGTATTACTGATCCTGTGTCTCCTTCAATATTCATGTGGTGAAATACTAACCTCCAGTATTCAAAAGTGTGATTTTTTGTTTGGTCTTTAGAGGGTAAAGTTTTTAAACAGGATTCCTGGAAAAGTCCCTAACCCAGTGGTTTGGAGAATACAGAGTCATCAGGACTGCCCTGTGAGACGAAGACATTAAGGAGCCATTTATAAGATAATCTGCCAAAACCTCTCTCTGGGGCTTTTAGCCTCTGGAAACATGAGAATGATTTTTTGTTTAAGCCATGTGGTTGGAGACATTGAGTGTGGCCACCCCCACTAACACAGTCCCCATGTGCTGACACAGGCTAGCTATGCAGAAGGTACATAGAGCTATGTGGGAAAACATAAGACTACTACCACTGACTACCAGGGGAATTCCCTAGATATGGGGAGGGAAAAGAAACATCTACTTTACACTTGAGTTTTTACAATGTGTGTATTCCTTTTGTTTTGTTTTGTTTTGTTTTGGGACAGGGTCTTAGGAAGTACAAGTTGGCTTCCAACTCTCTATGTATCTGAGGAGGGTCTTGTACTGATGATTCTCCTCCCAGTGCTGGGATTCGGGCACATGGCACCATACTTCACAAGTAGTCACATTTCTTTTCTTTTTAAAGAGCAGCACATGCACCCTGGGCTGCATGAGATCCTGTCAAAGGAAGAAGGGAGGGGAAAATCTAAGTATTTTAGAAAAGCAATGCAGTTTGAGGATATTTCTATAAAAGGATTTGTGAACATAGTATGGACTAAGTGATTCTCTTCCCTTCTGAAGAGCCCTTCTGTCCCTCAAACAAATCACAAAGAGTAATTTGTCACTCCTAGAGCCCTTCCCACTGCCCCATCTCACTTCTGAGGCATGCTCAACACAAGCTTTCAGACAGTGCTTTGTCCCTGCCTGGGAAAGGCTCAAAATTAAAGACAGGCCAGCTGTGCTCACTCTTCCCCTTTGTCTAAGGAGAATCCAAAACATATCCCACCAAAAGTGAATACCATTCTCCACTCTCCCTTCCTAGCCTTGCCCACCAGCCCTGGGAAGTCATCACCCAAACACTGAAAGAGGCCTATGAGGAAATGTGCCAGGAACCATGAGCTAGGGTTGGAGTAGCTTCAGGTATTTCTATTAAGTCAAAACACAGTATCTTCATTACATGTAAATCCAAGACAGCAGTACAAACTGAAAATAGCAACATATCAGGAGGCCTGCAAGTGTCAATGCGTAAGTGTGAACGTATAGTGGTACCCTAACTCACAGAAGAGTCCTCCCTGCCTTCTTTCACAATCCCAAAGGCCTAAGTACCAGGTTCTGAAGCTCACAGCAAGTAGCTGTGAAATGGGGCAGGAGTGGGTCGGGACAGTCAGGGATGGTAGAGGTAACTTGAGTGTGAAACTTAACTCAGGAGTTTGGGTGCCGATGCTCATGAT